GAACCTTAGACAAACCAGTTATCAACCAGGATAACAACTAAGAAAGGATAAAAAATAAGGTTTTTAGGATATAGTCAACCCTGTGATTTTTTATCAAACCTCATGGTAATGATCTTACAAGGATAACAACTTTTACCAGTTGGCTCTTGGAAATTCTTGGATTTTCTGTATATATTTGTATGCTGAAATTAGGCTTAAAGTGTTGTATTGTACCAAGCACTTGACCAAAAACCGTGGAATATTCCTTTAAAATAGAATGCTGGAATTGAGCTCAAAGTCTTGTATTGTGAACGTGTTATTATCAAATATTTGGAAATCAAATGAGTGAAATAACAGAACAATATGTCAGAATTACAGAAATTAAAATCAAGTGGTTTGGTTTCAAAGTTTCTTCAAGGTAAATTTAAATATTCATTTATATATTTGGATAAAGTATGAATAAGGATAAAAACTCCATTCCCTTCAAGTCAAATCATGAAAAAATATCAATAATAGCAATTTATAAAAGAGAAAGCAGTAGGAAGTAAAACTCCATTCCCTTCAATTAATATCATGAAGAAAAAAGATCAAGCAGGTATAAAAAAGAAAGTTCATCTCTAGGTCTAGACCTACTAAAACTTGGTAAATCATAAAAGTAAATTAAGCCCTAATAAGGATTGAATAACTGATAATCCTGGATTAAGCCAGAGATTATCTGGGCTGTGATTTATAAACAGTTAATCTCCCAGTTGTAGTTAGTTTACAAATGAAATGAATGGTGTCCTACTTTTCTGCACTTTCTGAGCTAATGAAGACGGGCAACACCATGCAGTGTGCAAGCACAGGGATCTTTTGCCTTTTCGATTTCTAACTGTAGAGGGATCTTTAATGTGCACAGTCTGTAGCACACGGGCCCCAGTTTATTGTCCTATCCGAACATCTAGACTCTTTTTCTATGACAGCCCAGCCAACCTGCATCACTCACGAGGGGGAAACCGGGTTGAAAAAGCTGAAGGTATTATCTCCACCTATGCCAGGATTGAACCCTGGATCTTCCTAATTCTAATTCGCTGAGCCACTGCGGCTCCCGGAGAAACTATCTGTTAGATTGATCAGCTAGATAGTTTACTATTATTCCCAAATATTTAACGAATATAGTTTTATTGATGTTTGAACTTGGTATTATGCTTGCCCTTGTTTGATATATCATTTATTGCTTAAATTGTTCATTCATTTATTCATTCATTCCATTTCATTCCATATCGTTCCATTTCATTTCATGGGAGCCGGGTGGCTCAATGAGTTAGAAGGTCCAGGGTTCAATCCCAGCATAGGTCGAGATAATACCTTCGGATTTTTCAACCCGGTTTCCCCTTGTCAGTGATGCAGGTAAGAGGGGCTGACATGGAAAAAGCGTCTAGTCATTCGGATGGGACAATAAACCGAGGTCCTCTGTGCTACAGGCTGTGCATGTTAAAGATCCCTTGACAGTTGGAAATCGAAAAAGAGCAGGGTCATGCCGCTGTCCTGGCAAAATTTCCCTCATTGCACCCTGTATGGCGTTGTCCGTCTTCATAAGCCCACATGGTGCAGAAAAGTAGGACGTAAAACTCCATGCGTTTCATTTCATTTATCTCTATGTGTGAAAGTTAGTAAACAAGAATAAAAGAAAGTTGCTGTATCATATCTGATTATAAAATCTGTTAAATCAGTCAACCATCCCTTCATTTTACCTTGTTAATCGTGGGCTTCATTAAATTCTCTTGACTTTAACTGGGAACTTATTTTTGTGTCAACTAATTTTCGCTCAATTTTTACTGACAGAGCACAAAGTTTTGGAGTTTTAAGAACACAAAGTTTTACAAATATTAAGTTGTCAAGAGCTAATCCAAAACATGTGTGGGATTCAAAATTCTCATCATAAAACAGGAGCTTAAAAGTTAGTATTTGGACTTGAATCTTGACTTTTCATAAGTCATACAAGGGGACCCAGATAAGTCATACAAGGGGACCCAGATAAGTCAGACAAGGGGACCCATAAGTCATACAAGGGGACCCAGATAAGTCATACAAGGGGACCCAGATAAGTCATACAAGGGGACCTAGATAAGTCATGCAAGGGGACCCAGGTAAGTCATACAAGGGGACCCAGATAAGTCATACAAGGGGACCTAGATAAGTCATGCAAGGGGACCCAGATAAGTCATACAAGGGGACCCAGATAAGTCATGCAAGGGGACCCAGATAAGTCATACAAGGGGACCCAGATAAGTCATACAAGGGGACCCAGATAAGTCATACAAGGGGACCCAGATAAGTCATCAAGGGGACCCAGATAAGTCATACAAGGGGACCCAGATATAAATATATTTTAGAAGATAAAATCAAAGTAATATTAGGATGAGATTGAGAAGTAGGTCAACTGATTCATTAAACAGAAAATAATTTGGTTGGGTCTGATAAATTTAAAAAATGTCTTTATTCATTCATAACTGTAACATTAGTCACTTCATATCAGACCTCATTTATCTTGGTCGTAAAAAATTAATAACAACACTAGTGTAGAAATAACAACATTCATTATAGACCTCTATTACACCATCTTCACAATGTCAAGTTATTACAAACCTCTTACTTATACCTTGACTGCAATAGCCACTATTCTTGTATTACAGAATGCAGTGATTTGATTGGATTGTCGACCAGCAAATACAGCCAATCAGAGTCTGTATACATTATGGTTGTGTTCACAGACTGATTGGCTGTACAATCCAATAATATTGCATCATGCACTTCGGATTGTTAGTTCTTGGTTTATTTATCACTTGGTAAATATTACCTGTGATTTTGTTTCCATTTATTGGCATCTGATCTATCTACTTAGCACTCTGAATAGTAATAAAAATAGCTGAAAATAAGCCCAATCAGCTGATAAAACATCTATAATACAATTTATAAGTTCTAAACTATTCTAGTGTTTATGATAATGACTCTGTGTTTATGATAATGACTCTGTGTTTATGATAATGACTCTGTCTTTATGATAATGACTCTGTCTTTATGCTAATCACTCTGTCTTTATGATAATGACTCTGTGTTTATGATAATGACTCTGTCTTTATGATAATGACTCTGTCTTTATGATAATGACTCTGTCTTTATGATAATGACTCTGTGTTTATGATAATGACTCTGTGTTTATGATAGTGACTCTGTCTTTATGATAATCACTCTGTCTTTACAGATTTTGTTCAACATCATCACTTATATATTTTGCTGTCAATTAAAATGCCATTTTTTATCATTTCTAAAAAATATTAAACTGTATTATAAGCTTACTATACCCTATAGCTCTTTAGTTCATAGGATGTTGGTTTCAGATACAGAACCAACGACGGATGTCATTCACATTAATATATATACTCTATTATTTTAGAATTATTTAATTAGTAATTAATATTAATTGATAATATAATTGTATTAATTTTAAATATCAAGCTGATGAAGCTGAATTTTTATCTCGGCCTGTGCTTTCGTAATGATGTTGTTACGACCACTCTTACCTATGTTATAACAAACATGTACTTGTATGAGAGAAGTAAAACAGGGTCAGACGGTTTAAATTGGGTGGGATATATTATACTGGTATATTAAAATATTTTACATTGATAACCATTGTTATTAATTTCATCCTTTCACTAATTTCATTGTTTCATTTTGTGCTTTTTGTCTCTTTTTGTCTCTTTTATAAATATCTTGGATTCATAAAACAATTCTTATGGATTACAATTACTTACTTTATTTGAGCATCGTTTCAACCAGGCCCCGTATTCCCGAAACAATCTTAGTGTGAGGATGTCCTAGGTTCTTATCTTCTAGCATTGATTCTACGATATCCTAGCGCTAAGATCGTTTCGAGAATATGTAGCCAGTGTTCTCTGGTCTTTATCAAGCCATGAATATAATTATACAGGTTAACAAGTACCGGTATAGGTAAAGACAAAACAACTGACTAAATGTTAGTTTCTTTTTTCCTCTTTCTCTTCAATAGACAGCTTCTCCCAATTTAAAAGAATCTAAAAAACAAAGGCACCATTGTCTCTCACTCTCCAGTCCTTAATCTCAACAGTTCTTAATCTCAACAGTTTATGTACTAGCACCAACAAAATTTAAAACGAAATTTCTGTTGTATTTTTTAGGAAATTCAGACCGAAGTCGTCATGATCAAAAGATAAAACAAGGTAAGATTCAAGTATAAACTCCTGGCTTTTTGGAAAAAAATAAAAAACTATAGTTTTATGGTTCAGCATTTAAACCAGTATTTATAGAGTGTCCTAGGACGCACTTCAGACAGGACGAGACACCCTTCAAATCTCCAAACATTCGGAATGACAAGAAAATGTCTTATGCTGCTGGAGCAAAAATTGTCTCTTTGCCCTTTGCATAACACTGCCCATCTTCAAGGGCCAGAAGCAGAAAGCTTCATATAAAATCCCAGTTTGTATCCAAATCTGGAACCTTTTCTTATTTCAATCTATGTAACCTATGATGTTTTTGTTTTTCAGTGGCTTTGACTGTAGATTTACAAAATGGGTTAGTTTTGTTTTTTTATAAATTGGTTGTTTATGGAAACAAAGAGTGGTGGCTTGCTATTCACTTCCTATGCACTAATTACTCAATGACTCTTTTCAGAGAGATCTAATTTGGCATTCCAGCCATTACAAGCAGAAAATGGCATCTAACGGATTGAGTCACTGCCGAAGAATTAAAAGTTGCTCTCACTAGCATTATTGGTGTGTAAACGCAATTGATCATGTGACAAACTGAATAAATGACAAATAGCTGGTTCTACAGATAGTAGAATGTAAATATTCATACATTCATGCATCCTCATGAATATTAATTAGACAAACCTAAATAAGGTGATCCACCCTGCTGATTCTGAGAATATTTTCAGGCTGGTGGAAGAGGAATTGGAAGATATAGAAGTAACAGAACCAAAACCTCGAGAGAAAGATGTAGCCCCACAATTTATCATTAAACCCCGACGCCAACTTGTCGATGAAGGTGATAGCACCAAGTTCAAAGCTTCTTTTGAAGGATCGTCCAATACTCAGGTCACATGGTCAAAAGATGGAAAAGAAATTCTTCCTGATGACCATTGCAAGGTAGGAAATATTTCGAAAGAACAAAAAACAAAGAAATGACTATATTTTACAAAGATAACAACTTAGGTTCACAGTTAAGGATCCTTTTTACCAGCTGGTCGTTGACCAAACCTCTTGGCACTGTTTTTACAAGTCTTACAGCTTAGATTCTTAAGGATCATTTCTACCAGGTGGTCGTGGACCAAACCTCTTGGCACTGTTTTTACAAGTCTTACAGCTTAGATTCTTAAGGATCCTTTCTACCAGCTGGTTGTGGACCAAACCTCTTGGCACTATTTTTACAAGTCTTACAGCTTAGATTCTTAAGGATCCTTTCTACCAGCTGGTCCTTGGCCAAACCTCTTGGTAATGATCTTTCCCGGATTATCCATACCCATTTACAGCTGAGTCGACCGGAACTATTTGTGAAGATGACTCATTCAAGGTCATCAGACTATCACACACCATCGAAATGATTAACAAGTGAAAAAGGAATAAATGGAAGAGGTACTTCCTTTCAAAAAGGGGTCCGCTCAGTGATACTTCTTACAATTGGTTCAATTATTTTTAGATTTTCAAAACTCAATTAATCATCCATTTTCATCCATTTCTATCATGTAGTCAGATTAGAGATATATGTACAGGAGAATTTCAAAAATTCTCAAAAATTAATTCAGTCTTTGAATGTGGATCTTTATCGGTCTATGCATATGGCTTATTTTTCTCTGATAGAAAATTGAAATAGGTAATATTCATCATGAAATCTTGTAAAATACCTTGGTTTCATCCGTATATTCTATTAGTCATACCTGTTAGAGAATAAGTAGGGAAAACATTATCAACTAATAAATATATGTCTTTGCTTTTAACGATATTACAAAACGATGACTAATGATTACCCTCCAAAACTTCTATCTAACTTGACTCTATCTGACTGTGTACTGTAAATGTATCAGTGGTGTATTATCAAGCTATAAGTGTTATTTGTATGTTCTAGATGTTTGTAAAAGACGACTTTCACTATTTGGAGATCTGTAAGGTATTACCGGAACACGGTGGATCGTATACTTGTGTTCTCTCAAATCCTGCTGGATCAACTTCTGCCACTGTTGGTCTTGAGGTATTTGGTAAGTTATTTTCTTTTTATATCAATACCAGTTTATCAAATAAACATAATCTTGATAAACCTAAATATCAAATAAACATAATCTTGATAAACCTAAATACCAAATAAACATAATCTTGATAAACCTAAATATCAAATAAACATAATCTTGATAAACCTAAATACCAAATAAACATTATTAGCTATGTGAACTCTCTGAGAGGATACAGATTCTATAAACTTAAATACCAAATAAACATTATTAGCTATGTGAACTCTCTGAGAGGATACAGATTCTATAAACCTAAATACCAAATAAACATTATTAGCTATGTGAACTCTCTGAGAGGATACAGATTCTATAAACTTAAATACCAAATAAACATTATTAGCTATGTGAACTCTCTGAGAGGATACAGATTCTATAAACTTAAATACCAAATAAACATTATTAGCTATGTGAACTCTCTGAGAGGATACAGATTCTATAAACTTAAATACCAAATAAACATTATTAGGTATGTGGACTCTCTGAAAGGATACTATGATAGCTATGTGGACTCTCTGAAAGGATACTATGCTAGCTATGTGGACTCTCTGAAAGGATACTATGCTAGCTATGTGGACTCTCTGAAAGGGATTTAATATCCCAGTATCCATTAAATTGTGATCTTACACAAATGTTTTAATTGTTTGTAAAATTTGTGAAATCAAATAACTAAAATATACTTTTAATTTCAAAAAAATGTGTGCAAAATAGCATATTGAAGCCTTTGAAACCCCTTGCCTTGTCTATGCATGTTCTATGTAAAAAAACGTTTTGATTGTAGAAAGTTATGATGCATTTTCAGAAAAAGCCAAACCAGTAAAAGTTGCCCAACCGATATTAGTTAAACCACTAGAAGATCAGACAGTTACAGCTGGAGACAGAGATGTTAAATTAACTTGCTCTGCCTCAGGTACAACCTCTCTGTTTTATATTGTCTATCTGTGTGCAGTCAAGGTCTTGGACCTTTGTGCCCAATTCAAATTTGACTTTTAGAAAGGATTATTACAACTGTAAAATTTGAAGAACTATGATTATGTGTGTCACATCTTGGGCTTTATTATTAACAATTTCCTGTGTTCTTCAAATTTAATAATGGTCTATTCATAATTTTGATTAAGATTGGTGTCATTTTGCCCATTTTTTTGAATTAGCATTTTTTTTATAAGCAGTGGGTCACTTGAACCAGGGTTCTTATTCTCGAAAACTTAACTAAGAAATATAGTAATCTGATTGGATAATAGCACTTAACTTTTTGTGATTGACCAATCAGATGATTGGAACACTGAAATCATCTTAAGTTAAGTTTTGATTAATGCATAAAGCTAGATTTAAAATCAGTTTTAGTGATCGACCAATCAAATGACTGAAACACTAAAATAAGTTAAGTTTTGATTGGTGCATAAAGCTAGATTTAAAATCGGTTTTAGTAATTGACCAATCAGATGACTGGAACACTAAAATCATCTTAAGTTAAGTTTTAGAGAATAAGGCCCCAGGCAAATAATTCTTAAAATTGGCAGTTTTAATTCTGAAAGCAAACCTTCATTTTGAAATACAATTTGTAGATGCAGATGCTGCAACTGTTACATGGTACAAGGACGGAAAGGAGTTAAGACAAGGGAGACAACACAGAATTCGTTTTGATGGAAGAGTTGCCTCTCTTGGACTAACCCAAGCAGCGTCTACGGATGGTGGCTTGTATGAATGTGTTATCAAAAATAATGGTCATGAAGTTAGAACTAGTGCTACATTAACAGTTGAAAGTAAGTTTCCTTGTGCCTGTTTCACAAAATCCTGACGAAATTTCAACCCAAATTTTAAGAAATTAAGTTATCTGATTGGCTTATAAAGCTGAACTTACAATTGTTTTTAGCTATTGGCCAATCAGATTATTATAATAATAAAATCACTCTAAATTAAGTTTTTGTGAAACAGGCCCCTGGGTGGTATCAGTGTCCCAGATACACATCAAAGTCTAAAAAACCTTATTACAATCCCTTCAAGACAGTCTCAATCCAGCTCATTAATGAAACCTTGTGGCAATATTGTAGATTAGGGTGGTTGAAAGGAAACAAGTTACTATCCAACAGAAGGCACTGGCACAGGATTAAAGCAATGTTCATGAATGTTAAGATTAAATATTAGTGTGTAAACAATAGTTGAGCAAACTATTTCTCTGTCTTCAGTGAGGACTCTTTAGGCTACATGTAATAATAACATGGATTAAAACTTACTTACAGGATGAATAAATCAAACCCCCCAACAATCAGCAGACTTGATCAGAACTTATCAGTAAACTGAAGACAAAAAGGTTTGAAAATAGACTGAATAGGGAATTGGAAATTATGTTTTTTGACATTAATCAAACATTTTCTGAGATCTAAATATTTCTAATTATAGATGATAAAAGGGAGCCGCCATATTTTGTTCAGGAATTGGAAGATATGGAGGTTGATGATGGTGACAAGGTCGAGTTGGTTGTCGAGGTCAAAGGTCAGTCTTCAATTCTTTGAATAACGTCAATTTTATATTTTTCAGTCGTTAAAAAGTTTTCAAATTTTTCAAAATTTTTCAAAATACTAATTTTGAATAGAAAGTAAAATATAAATTTGCCTGTTTTTCTAAAAACAACAATTTTAAACTGCGTGCAGTGTGTTTCAGATTAGTTACAATAACATTATATTTTGCATGTGCATCCAATAAAATGTAGGTCAGTTTAATTTTGCATGTGCATGTGTGTTGTGTGTTTACAGGAAGTGAACCCATCGATGTATTTTGGATCCATAACAATAAAGAAGTTGCTAAAGATGACCCAGATTATCAGCAGGCTGCTATCAATAAAAACAGATTTAAACTAACAATAGGGAAAGTGGTACCAGGTGATGCTGGGGCGTACGTTTGTGAGGCATATAATGAATTTGGTGAATCTGATACATTTTGTAATCTTTCTATTAGAGGTTTGTTTTAGAATAATAACAAAGGAATTGGAGTGTTTTTTTCCAAATTTTCCAGTTTTTGAAATAACCATGATGATCGTTTGTACAAGAATAATAAAAATCAAAATTTATACTTTATAAGGGATATATTTTTTGGACAATCGCAAAATAAAACACTCAATTCCTACTGAAAATTTGAAAAATTTAATATTTGTTCTTTGAACATTGATGTTAATTTTTTCAAAGTTTCATCAAATTTATTAACTTTTTAATCCTGATACCCCCTGCCCCGTCCCCACCCCCCTGCCTGAAATTGACAGCATGATGTTGTGCATGATTAGTGAATAGACAAAATTACAGAACAAAAAGCTTATGAGTCTTTTTTTATTCTTTTATCTTCAGATTCTGACCTGGCCGACTCCAAATAAACTCGAAAACAATTCCAGTCATCGTTCATTCCATCATTACTCCATCACCCCCCTCCCCACCCCCTTCGTCTCCATTTTTAGATATTTTTTACCTTCTTATTTTCTTAGTTTTCAATTCTCAACCTTTCATTATTTTTGAGTTTTGTTTGTATTTCATCCTCATCAATTTTACTCTAGAAATTGAGAAATCATTACCTCCCGATTTTATCACGAAACCAAAATTGACCAAAGTAACGGAAGGAGCTGATGCTATTTTTAGCTGTACAGTTGTGGGTTTTCCCCTTCCGAATGTCTACTGGGAAAGAAATGGTAAAATACTACAAGACTGTACCAAATATCAGGTATAGTTATTTCACTGAATATTACAGAAATTTACTTGAAAGATGTTAGGAGATGATTCTTATTTTCAGAAATTGTTGATACGTTGACAGGCAATTGCTCTGGCAGTAAATGATAATCCAATATCCAGATAACTGGAACACAAAAATCATCTTAAGTTAAGTTTTTTTTATGAAAAGACCCCAAGAAGTTTGTTGTAATCAAAATTTTTTGGATTCAGATTTCCCAGGTTCATGACAAACATACCTTAGTGATCTCCAAAGCAACCAAAGATGATGGTGGTAAATATATTTGTCGCCTTGACAACCAAATGGTTTCCATGGTACATTCTACATCTTTGATTGTCCAAGAGAAATCAGCGAATACCACCGATTTCAGATCGGTTTTGAAAAAGAGGTAAAGCCTGTAATTTTTCTTCTTTAACTTTCTTTAGGACCAAGCTTCTCAACCTCAGTGAGATCATTCCTCACTGTAAGAATTCTTCCAGATCTATTCCTCCCCAAAATAAATCATTTGAAACTATATCATATAAAAATGTATTCATCGATTAATCATGAATTGATATTAAAACATACTCCACATATCAAGATTTTTATATGTGATCCTTGGGCCGAAAGTTTGTTAGTGATTTTCTGTAAATCAGGGGTGAATGACACCAATTTCAGTCGAAGATCACCTTACAGCGAAGGTGAATCTTCGCTTCATAGCTGAGCTTTGAAGTATAAACCGGCCTTTAGTCTTCAGGGTATATAACTCTTTATTTTATTCACACTCACTGTTCATAGGAATAACTTAATATAGACAAGATATTTTATTTTCAGACCATCATTGGATACAATCAAACCACTGAAAACAACAGACAGAGAAAAAGCTGATAAAGAAAATAGTGAAAAGCGTGCACCAGTATTTCAAGGAATTTTATCCAAAATGGACGACATGTCGCAAAGAGTTTCACACAAACCTAAACCTAAACCTCAAGTAGCAGAATCCCATACAGCTTTACGGAATAAATTTGAACAGAATTCTTGCTCGAAGACTTCTGTCATTTCAAAAACTGTAAAAGTTGTGCCAGTGAAAGAAACCAAAAGTGTAAATCGACCAGTGGCTGAACTGAAACCTTTCAATCATTCTGTTGGATTATCATCTCGAGAAACTAAACCACAACAACAATCTAAAACAGATCCAAGTGATATCAAACAGAATGATAAATATATAGCTCGACCTGTACAGGTAACACCTGTCTGTACAACAATTGAACCTAAATCGGTAAACGTGAACAAATATCAAAATGGATCACGATTCAATCAGGACATTGAACACAATATCAAACCAAAAGACACTGGTCTCGTAGATTTCCGGAAAGAGGCTCGAATCAAACCGATGGAAATAAACAAACATCCAGAAGACATTTCATCAAAACCTAAACAAGTGGATTTTAGAAATGTTCTTAAATCAAAGGACAAAGACACGGTTAAAAAACCCAAAGATTCTGTGGATTTCAGATCTGTTTTGAAACCGAAAGTCCCCATGAATTTACCTGATTGCAAACTACCACCTAGTGGTGCTCAGCATGATTTCAGACATTTGTTATCTAAAAAATCTGAAATTTCAACTGAGCCTAAATTATTACAAACTTTAACGAACCAGACAGTAAAATATGGAGGTCAGGCTGTTTTATTCTGTGAGGTGAGAGGAAAACCAGAACCAGATATCAAATGGAGTGTCAACCAGAGAGATATTCAGGTACTATATTATATATTCTAAATAAACATTATTAGTCAGATAGATTCTCTAAATACCACTTAAACATTATAGAGGTACAGACTAATACCAAATTAATATTTAGGTATGTGGACTCTCAGAAAGTTGACAAATAAACCAAGTAATACCAAGTAAATATTGACAAATCCAAAAACCAAATTAATATCTTGCTATGTGAACTCTCAGAAAGTTGACAAATATACCAAGTAATACCAAGTAAACATTGTTAAACCCAAAAACTAAATGAATATTTAGCTATGTGGACTCTCAGAAAGGTTTGCAGAAAAGACAGTCTTATTGATAGACCTGAAAAGCAAATAAACATTTTTAGCTTTGTGAACTCTCTCAAAGTACTGAGTTGACAAACCTACATACCACATGGACATTATAGAATTTCTCCATAACAAAGAAATACCAAATTAATATGAACTATGTGAACTCCCTGAAAGGGATGTAGAGTTGACAAACCTTAAAACCAAATAAACATTTAAGCTATTTGGATTCTCAGTAAGATTTGCTGAGTTGAAAAAACCAAAAACCAAATTAAAATTTGGAAGGGATGTAGATTTGATAAACACTAACTAACATGTGGTTTCTCGGGAAAGGGGAGTAAAAAGAAAGTGATAAGTATATACTTCTTCAGAAAGTGATAACTCCACAATATCAGATCCTCTAGTTACAAACAAGTTGACAAACCTAAATTCAAAGTAAATATTTTTTAGCTATGTGGACTCTCTGAAAGCATGTTGAGTTGACACCAACCATTGTCATGTACATTGGAGTACAAAACAACATTTCATTGTCATTTACCCTATAAGTTTCAGACTAATAAGACAATAAAAAATATACTTACTGGTACATTATTCTGAGTTTATATAAAACAATAAGTTATCAAACTGTATATTTCATGTGGACTCTTTCTATTTGCAGCAATCACGATATTTACAATTAAAATATAAAGATAATATAGCTAGTCTGACAATCAATGAGGCTTTCTCAGAAGATGAAGGTGAATATGCTGTAGTGGCCTCCAATTGTAATGGTTCTATCAAAACATCCTGTACTCTCTCTATTGAAGGTAAGGCAATATTTTACAACCTTAAAGCTATCATGTTCTTATAAAAGAAAGATCAATCATTATATTATTTTTAAGGTAGATGCTAGTGTTTAATATAATCATCGTTTCAAGGATGAAGCGGGGAAACGTTGCATAAAACTTTAACCAGTAACTGTTGTTTCATTAAGCTGTTTCTATATACATTTAATTATATTACATTTCATTGAGTTTGTGGTGAAAAACTAGCAACTCCTCTAAATCAATTAAATGATATTTTCCAGATTCAAGTTCAATGTCATCTCGTTCTGATAGTAGATCTTTAGAGGGTCCAGTTGCCTTCCCACCAAAAATACTCAATGTTACCCCCACTACCGTCTCGGCAACCAAAAATAAATCAACAGAGATCAAGGCTGCTTTTAACGGAGAACCAACTCCTTCAATATCTTGGTACAAATATAAACATGAGCTGGAATCAGGTAAGCTTGTTTGTCTCCCGATCATTAAGTTCTGTTGTTTTACCTCTACCTTATATCAGTTTCAATAATTTCAGTAGGCCATAACCTGGTTGTATCTCATGATATTGACCTATATAGTAGTGACAGGTGTCCTGCGTGAAACAGATCATCCTTTCTCTTTTCGAAACACCTGATGGTACTTCCCTTCTCTATTCTACTTATATATGATGAGGTTGTCCTATTGGGATCAAATAATTCTGTTTTCAGTTTTCCTTATATTCATGTACGTCTGGAGTATGAGACTACCAACTTCCCATGTTTGAAGTATTTTTAATGATGAGTATATCATATTAGAGCTCAAAATAAAAAAATCAAAGACTTAAATTCTAAAGGTTTCAGATAATAGATTAATGAATAGTCTTGGGAAAAGTGCAATTCGTGATATTTTGGGGTAATTACAGGTAAGACGTCAATGTATTTTGTATTTCAGAGGGTCGAGTTCACATCAAGACATTGACCAATTCCTCAGTTTTAACAATAGATGACCTACAACAGGCTGACTCTGGTAAATATACCATTATAGCCGAGAATGATCTGGGCTATGATAAGGCTAAAATATTCATCAGTGTTGAAGGTGAGTTTATTGTTACAGTTCTAGGGATATGAAAAGTTCATTAGCTTCTACCAATGTTTCCCCAATATGTTGTGTTGGATTGTAGGGTTTTTTTATTGGCTCGGATCGTTTGTACTTGGTTTATTTATACTGATACTGAAAAAAAAAAGAATCTGTTTAAAAAATATACAAGTACATGTGTATGAGATGTACAAGTTTATGCCTAGTGATCAAGTACATAACCACAAGATGTAAAGACACACCGAAATACATATACATGTACATATATTCATATTACATGGCACCGTTCATCTTTAATAGTACAATAGGGTTGTAGAGGATATAGCAAAATTGTATGTAATTCCTTTTATCAATCTATTATAATTCTTATATATTTATATTCCAATATTTTGACAGTAATATTGGAGTAATCTGAGCCATATTAATGTGTACAGAATTGAGCCATTCTTTATAAAACTTCCAAAAATAAAAAAATCAAACTACCCGGGATTTCAGTGTTTTATCTTTAATGAAATTTTTTAAATCCATTGCTACTGGCAATGTAATAGATTAAATCATTAAGATACTTAAGTAATTAGAGAGTTTAACTAATTAATCTTGATTAGGGAGTTTTAACGAATTAAGGGTCAAGTTGATATTCATGATTGATGACATTTTGAATCATTTATACTCTGGTGTGGGATAGAAGGTGAAGATTTTAAAAAATAGAAATTTTCAATTGTGTAGAGCGGAAGAAGGTGTGGAAGAACCTGTCTGGATAAACATTCAATTGTTACAAGGATAAAAACCATTTCAGGATTCTGATCAATAAAAAAATCTTGTCTGCATAGACCTTCATTTCTTACCAGGATTGAACTGTTTCAAGGATCGTGTGGACGAGCATCTTAAACAGCTAGAGATGGTGATAAAGATTTGTGTTGATCCAATTTCAGATGTGCCGTACTCTCCAATGGGGTGTCCGTCTGTGAGCGAGATTACCAGTAATGCCGTGTCCTTGGCGTGGTACGGCCCAGCTTACGACGGTGGCAGCCCAATAACAGCCTATACAGTAGAATGCTGTAAAGGAAATTCACGAAAATGGACTTCATTAACAAATAATTGTAGGGTAAGTTTTTTCTTTTAATTCATGTCCAAGATATCTTTATAAAACCATTGACCATTAAAGTGGTGGCGAAGCAGACCATGCTTACTCTTTTCGAAACACCTGATGGTATTTCTCTTTCGAGGAATCCACGACTATACTACCTTTACTCCCGATTTTGCGCCATTTTTGGACGAGGTTTTTTTTTTACATCAACATCTGGAGTGCTTTAACATGTATCATACTAGTTCTTATTTGGGAGATAAATCATGTATATTTGTGCGTACTGTCAAGGTATTAGACGGAGTTTGTAAAAGCTTGACATTGTGAAGACGATGAAATATATAGAGAATTAATTCTGTTTGTTTCAGAATACTTTCTATCAAGCTCAGAGCTTAGAACCAAACACTCAATATTGTTTCCGAATACGAGCAGGTAATAAACATGGCATGAGCGAGGCTAGCGAACCCTCCGAACTTATTACAACATACGAAGACTGTTCCTCTACTATGGATTATGAGTCAGATGGTATGTTAAATTATTTGTCTATCATAACAATGAAACAGGTTTTATTTTTGTTTGGCTTTATCTTTGTAGTTCTAACATTAGTAGATGTTGTTGCACATTATCTATACAATCTTTCCTATGACACTCTGATCTCAATTTGATCATGTAAAAAGGGAATTAACTTCTCCCGTACATAAACTTTTGATAGACACTTGTCACCAAAAAGCTTGATTTTTAATCGAAGGCTACGATTACATGTACTCAAACTAAAACTCAAACGCAAATAAAAAACGCATACTCAATAAGAAAAAACGGAACTTAGCAAATCCAATTTTCTGCTTAAATGATTGTGTCCTCAAACTCAACACCACCGTGTGAGTGCAACGGATGGCTCAGTGAGCGATTTCTTTTTTTGAGTTTGCGGATGACTACGGACAGCTTATCCAGATAGTGTTTATAAACCCCATGCATTAAGTAGCTTTGGTATTAGAGGCATGCCAGCTGATCTGTTTTTGTAACATTGCGGTTAAGTAATATTATGAAAGCACAGGCAGTCAGTTTGAAAAATGTTTTTTGGTTGGGCAGACGAAGACTCAAAACAAAATGAAAATGTATACAAGTCAGTTACTACTGTGATATATTGAATTTAGATTTGAAGTTCTACATTAGTAACTCTATAAGTATCTAATGGAGCGGAAAGTTAATTCTTTCGAGATGAAGTTCAACAGCTGAAAAGACAATTTTATGTTAATAATCCTTCAGCGAGTTAGAGATCACATCAAATAACTAAACACAATTTTTATTGTACACAATGTTTCTACAATTTACATTGTCATCATCAGTATATATGGTGTACCATTGTCATCATAAGGTGTCATCATTTCACCTGATGGTGACAATGTAAATTGTTGAAACATTGTGTACAATAAAACTATAGAACTCGTGAGTAGTATACCATGTAATTTGATGATGACAATGTAAAATTGTTGAAACGTTGTGTTCAATAGAAAGGAGTTGTATACTATAATATTGTGTACCGTTATTAAATATAATAATAATATACCTTTAAATAGCCGTAACTGACTTGTATATAAAGTGCACCTTGCTGTGATAACTGTAGATTTTAGTTTATAGATTTAGTTTTTGTTTTTGTTTTAGCACCTAGTAGGTTATTTATTCTATAAGGCATTTGATCATGTTCATAATCAGAAGGAAAAGGACCCTTAAACCTGCCAAAACCTTATCTGAGGGTTTTGAAACATTTTTGATGTTTAATTTTTGACTGAGAAAATGAATGCCAATAAAAATCTTATTATTATTTTTTCGTGCCTTATAAAATAATTACCGATATATAGAATTATCACATTAACTGTATTTCACCTAGACGTGCTATTAATATCTATTTTCCCTCTGGACTATTAATTACAGGGTATTCTGAGGTTTTCTCTCCTGGGCCGGAATCTATAGAAGGTAATATTCTCTCATCTATAATTATATAATCATTCAGCTTGCCAGTGCCAGGGAATATTTACTTTGCAGTTGGTAGAATTCTATTTCGGTTATGTATATAATCGTCTATATAATTACTTTACCAGCTGATAAAGCTAGCTATCTGTATTCTTACAGTCAGCTATATATTTACTTTACCAGCTGATAAAGCTAGCTATCTGTATAGTCATCTTGATATTTACTTTACCAGCTGATAGAAGTCAATTTCAGCTATCTGTATAGTCATCTTGGTATTTACTTTACCAGCTGATAGAACTCTATTTCAGCTATCTGTATAGTCATCTTAATATTTATTTTACCAGCTGATAAAGCTAGCTATCTGTGCAGTCAGCTAGATATTTACTTTACCAGCTGATAGAGCTCTATTTCAGCTATCTGTATAGTCATCTTAATATTTACTTTACCAGCTGATAATGCTAGCTATCTCTATTCTGTACAGTCAGCTAGATATTTACTTTACCAGCTGATAAAGCGAGCTATCTGTACAGTCGTCCTTATATTTACTTTACCAGCTGATAGAGATCAATTTCAGATATCTGTATAGTCATCTAAATATTTACTTTACCAGCTGATAGAGCTCAATTTCAGCTATCTGTATAGTCATCTAAATATTTACTTTACCCGCTGATAGAGCTATCTGTACAGTCGTCCTTATATTTACTTTACCAGCTGATAGAACTCAATTTCAGCTATCTGTATAGTCATCTTAATATTTACTTTACCAGCTGATAATGCTAGCTATCTGTATTCTGTACAGTCAGCTAGATATTTACTTTACCAGCTGATAAAGCGAGCTATCTGTACAGTCGTCCTTATATTTACTTTACCAGCTGATAGAGATCAATTTCAGATATCTGTATAGTCATCTAAATATTTACTTTACCAGCTGATAGAGCTCAATTTCAGCTATCTGTATAGTCATCTAAATATTTACTTTACCCGCTGATAGAGCTCAATTTCAGCTATCTGTATAGTCATCTTAATATTTACTTTACCAGCTGATAGAGCTCAATTTCAGCTATCTGTATAGTCATCTTGATATTTACTTTACCAGCTGATAGAGCTCAATTGCAGCTATCTGTATAGTCATCTTAATATTTACTATACCAGCTGATAGAGCTCAATGTCAGCTAACTGTATTTACTTTACCAACTGATAGAACTCACTTATAGTCATATGAATACCAACTTTATCAGCTGGTAGAGTTCTAATAGTCGTCTGAATATTTACTTTACCATCTGATAGATCTCTATTAGAGTTATCTGTATAGTCATCCAAATATTTTTCTATTAGCTGATAGATCGATCTCAATTTCAGCTATCTGTAAAAGGTTTAAAATGAAAATCTTACATTCTAAGATCTATAATGAGTAGTCTAAAAGTAAATCAAAACAAATTCTCCAAGAAAGTCCTTTCGGTTCTACAAAAAGACAGCTTACAGTAAATATATTAGTTAAGAATAAATTGCATAAAAAGATAAAACTGAGGGATAGGTGGGTTTTTGACCGTCAGTGGCTTTTCTAGGAAACATAACGTGAGGGGGTCGTGCAGGGGCCACAACCCAAGCACCCAGGGGGCCATGCCCATGCACCCCGACCCGCGCCCCCTCACAGATGATGAGCCTCTGTAATATCTGTGTTAGAGGTATGGTGTAGGAATACTATTTATGTAAAAATAGATGCAGAAAATACGCCAGATACCAAGACGTGTTGGACACTATGTGGGCATGATTAGCTTCTGATATTTTCTATTGTATTGATAATCAAACAACCAACGTCTCCGTCCCTCCTCTATGTTGCTCTATTACTAGATTCACAGTAGTATATTAGTTTAGTACTAAGAACACAGCCATCACCAGTTGTGTATGGTTGTGAATAATGAAAGTGGTTATGAGAACCGAACGCAACTCACAACTCAGTTGCAAGAGAGTTGCGTTTGAAACTGATGATAACTTTTCTTATTTGCAGCCATTCTCTATGGTGTGAGGCCCCTTTAACTTGAAACTTTGCTTTTTCTTGCCAACGTTCTCACCCATTCTTATCTTTTATTTAGATGAGTTACCATTTGAACCAAAGTATGTAGATATTGATAAATCCCGAAAATTTGAAGACTATTTTGACACAATGGAAGAGATTGGAAGGTGAGTTGTTTATCTTAAGAAATTTTCTTGGTAGGTTTTATTTCTGCTTCAGCGAACATATTTCAAGAACCACACAAAGTCAGTGTAAAATTCTTCGCTCTGCATAGCCCTTCAATAATGTTCTACAAATTCTTATTTTAACTTTCAGGGGCAAATTTGGAAATGTTTTTAAATGTAAAGATAAGAAAACCAAAAAAATCTGGGCAGCGAAGATCTTGAAGTGTCGTGAAAAGGAGAAAGACAACATCAGAAACGAGATCAACGTTATGAACAAACTTCACCATCCCAAAGTCCTCATGTTATGGGATGCGTTTGAAGCTGCCAAGAGCATGGTGCTAGTCATGGAATAGTAAGTGAAAACATACTTATGCCCTCATTGACAGATTTCACCCCTCACCCCTCTTTAGATCTTTTGAAGCTGCCGGGAATATGGTGCTAGTCCTGGAATATTTAGTTTGCTATGTGACAGTGTATGTCTTGATTGAGCTGTCGACTAAATAGTTGTGCCTGTAATGAAAAGATTTCAGGTCCTATAGCTTTGAGATAGGTAGGCTACTGGCCTTTGATATTGTTTTACAGGATACAAGATCTCCATGTAGGCCTACCATTTAGTCATTTCAAACTGTTATTAAAATATCTATATGAAGTAAAATATTGGTAAAAGTCAAACTTGACCTATAATATTTATATATATATATATATGAGTAGCCAAACGTGTCCTTTAAAATTTATCAAAATATTAAAATAACTTGTTATTTCTCTTGTAGTATTCAAGGTGGTGAACTGTTTGAGCGAGTGATTAGTGATGACTTTGAACTAACCGAAGGCGACGTCATCCATTTTATGCGACAAATATGTGACGGCTTGGGTTACATTCACCAGCAAAATGTCCTTCATCTCGATCTGAAACCAGAAAATATTTTGTGTATCTCAAGTAAAACAAATCAAATCAAAATCATAGATTTTGGACTGGCTCAGAATTTTAAACGTGGAGAAAGTGTGAAAGTGTTATTTGGAACGCCAGAATTTATCGCCCCTGAAGTGGTGAATTATGATGAAATTAGTTTCGCCACGGATCTATGGAGCGTGGGAGTCATCTGTTATGTTCTGTAAGTGACGATTTATAATCCTTGTAGATATCTTACTCTATTGAATTCATATGATTGACGCAGAGTTTTACATCCTACTGTTCTGCATCTGTTGGCCAAATCAAACCGGAACGCCATGATTGTTTTTTTACCAGGACAGCAGCATTAGCCCACTCAGTGGCATTTCTAGGAAACATTAGTTGAGGGGGTCAAATAGGGGCGACGCAATTTTCAAGGGGGGCCACAGGCCATGTGAATTGTTAAAAATTTTGAAAGTGGGGAAATGGGGGGCAAAGCTGGGCCGGCCTCTTTTCTTGGTGGGTCATGGTCCCCTGGCCCCAGTAGAAACGACATTATGCCCAATATTTTTAAATTTTCAACTTAATGTAGAACACGGATCCTAAATTATCGATATACATGTAGTCACAAACTCTGATCTGCATCACTGACAGGACACCTGCTGGTCTGTGGCCAAACCTCTTGTCACTGATCGTATCTGGATAACCTGGTACCAATTTACAGCTGGGTTGATTGTTTGTAACATTGAAAATTCATTGTAAATTTTATTTTTCAGTCTATCAGGGTTATCACCGTTTTTAGGGGATAGTGAAAACGAGACCTTATCAAACGTAACGTTGGGAGAATACGACTTTGATGATGACGCCTTCACCGAAATATCAGATAATGCTAAAGATTTTATACAGAAACTACTCATCAAGAAAAAACAGTGAGTTGATAATTCTTGATCATCTTGGTAAAGGTTTAAACGGTACATGGATACAAATAGTGTCGGCGCCAACCTCCCGCGATTGGGGATACAAATAGAGGGCAGATTGATTTAATGGGAGGAAACCGTCGAGGATGAGATAAAAAATGCGACAGTTCCGGGGAAGAGCCTAAGCAAGAGCGCCCACCGAGTATCTGATAAAGTTCTCCACATGTAAATGTTTGAAAAGTAGAATTGATTTGATGCCTCCTGACACATATTTTTGGGGCAAAAACAGACAGACATGTCTGACGTGAATGTCAGTTATAAGTTAGACTTCTAATGCCAAGAATAACTCGTGTATATTCTATTTTCTCAGGAAAAGACATACCATCGACCAATGTAAAAACCATCAATGGTTGGCTCAAGATGAAAAACGTATCCGTTGTAAACGGCTAAATACAGAGAAATTAAAACATTTCATGGCAAGACGGAAATGGCAGGTTTGTATTCCGTATAATTCCGAATATAGTGCGCACCCTTCTTACCCTCTGGAAATTTCACCGTAAATAATGCATACTCTGATAAAAATATCAACAAGTTGGCATAACCCAGACACCATGATATTAAGTGGTATTATCACTGGTATTACATTGTCACATGATGTACCACCACTGCCAGGCAAAAGAGCCCAAGTTTTTAGGTGTCAAAATAGCTGCCCTCACCTGCATTATCCTGACCGACACCCGGAAGCAACACTTGGGTGTGTCATACCTTTGTCATCAGCCTTGGTATTTCGGTTTGTCATCTTGACATTCTTCTCAGAGGGTCCACAGAGCCAAAGTTGATTTAATAGTTTGCAAAATGAACTGGCAGCAGCCAGGATTCTGAATATCGGTGTGACTTGATGTTGGCTTGCAGGATGCTAGATCCTTTTTAACTGTTGGATTCTTTGCCATGTTATTAACCTATGGTGTGAATATTAACACTATATAACTAGCATAAACAACACAAGTAGCCCCCCCCCCCCCCTCCCTACCAATGTTATTCCACTCTTGAGTTTGTGGACTCCTATTGCATGATGTATTCGTTAGATTTAATACATTGTGATGTGTTTTTCAACTAATTTATTTCCTTTATTAATATTATTTCGGTATTATGGACTGATAACTTCAAAAAATTATTTCTCCACCATTATATTATATGCATGCTGCATTAAAACATACTAACACACATTTTATTCCTGTCGGCATTAAAGGGACATATGCCATCTTGGGGTTGATTTGAGTCTTGAAAATATGTAAATACATGTAGTCTTCAGAAGTACTAGAAATGTTCTAGAATTCCTTTAAAAATATCTCAAACTAGGAATTTTACTCACTTTTCCTATATATGTCTTTTCTATATATCACGGAGCATCTTAAAATGACACTATTACTGATTGGTTGAGCTAAAAAATTCTTGTTTCTGAGACTAAATTATGATTGGTCAAAAAAAAAAATGGCGCACTAGTCCCTTTAAACTTGCTGTACCAGCTCACAGAGCTCATTTCCAGCTTTCCACAACTTCTCTATTGTTGTTGTGTTATAATCTTATCGGCCATTTATTTTACGTCCGTTGTTACACCAGTTTTCATTGGATTAAGATGGTCTTGAATTTTATTTAATATATTTCACACACTTGGAATGCATTCTGTTGGTTTTTGCAATTTTATTTATTGCTTTTTTGCATGCTGCATTTGTTTTTTTCTTTTCACTTCACAGAAAACTGGAATGGCAATTCGTGCACTGGGACGCATGGCTTCGCTGAAAAATTTGTTTTGTAATAGTAGCATGGGTAGTGGTTCGAGCAGTATAAGCAATCTGGGTGATTCTGGAGTAACTGATTCATCTTCTTCTTCCAAACAGACATCAGTGTCATCACCATCAGCAGTATCCAGCGAAGAAACCAACTTCAGTTACGACGAAATGTCACCATTTACAAACACAACCACGACCACACAGCAGAACACCTCGACTTCACCGTCTCCAAACACATCACCAAAGAAAACGGGTGAATTTGTCCGAAAACAAACCTCTCCAGAATTAAACTCAAATTCACGCTCTAAAGACTTAAATTTTGAAAATTTGTCTCCAGTGGGAAAAATTACTAAAAACGGTTTATCCAGACTCGCTAAACTTACAGATTTTCACAGTGCAATACAAACGGACGAGTCGTCTAGTGAAGTTATAGGATTTCAGCCGAATAATGTCAGTGGAATATCAGTCAGTTCTGTTAATGTAAAGGATGACAGCGGTTATAATTACTCTTATAAACCGCAAATTAAAAGCGGGACTAAGTCCTCTGCTAAAATAAGAAACAAATCACCAGAAAATACCAAATTTGACCACAACTTAGAGTCTGTGAACATTAAATCAAATACAGAGAAGGTTTCGTTGAATAAATTCTCCAATTGTGTTACCAATTCAGACAAGTCAATGGTGAGCCGCGATTTGGACACATGTGTTCATCACACTGAAACATTACGAAAAAATAATGATCTGGAAAAATGTGTGGAAAAATTAGACTTGAATAGTGGTGATAGTGTGGATTGTGGTGTCAAGCCGTGTTTTGTGAAAGAAATGATGGATTGTGAAGTATTTTGTGGCGATGTGATAAGATTTGATGTCGTTATTTCCAACTTCACGGATGTACAATGGTATTACGAAGATGACTTAATCACCCAGGATAAGAGGCATATCATCGATTTCAACGAAGATGGACGGTGTTCATTAATTATTCGTCAAGTTACGACAGAGGATGACGGAGAGTATACCTGTACCGCAGTCAATAAACACGGAGAAACTTCCTGTTACGCAGATTTAATTGTGTGTGGCACCGGTGCTATATGAGAACAGTATATTCATCTGAATAGACTCTTCGTATTTGACAGAATTATTCTCTTTAAAAGCTCTCTCGTAATTTATTTTTTACCAGAATGACTCCTTTTTATGCAATCTTAATGGTGCTTAAATGTTTTACCCCCCAGTCAGTCAGAGTATACAATTTGAGTTATGCCCCCTTATTCAGTAGAAAAGCAAAATAATAGCTTTATTAGGAAATGCTTCCTCATTTCAATATGAGATAACAATGAGAATATGTATAGTGTATTTGAGTTGATTGTGAACAAACTGAGCATTTGATCGGATGAGACTTCGTCATTCTATCAAAATTTCCCTATTTATACCTTTTGAAAAATCATGAATGACATTTTTTATCTGATCATTTTTCGTTTAAGATCTCTTTCGACCCTCATTTTGTCTACCCTGTCCAGTTGTTCATGATCAACACGTTGGTAATGGAAGTCTCACAACTTGGCCATATTATTATTATTAGCATTAAAATGGCCGTCGTGTGTTTCCATACTTAGTAATGTATTTCAGATTGGGTTAATGCACTGTACAGTTTCTTAGACACAAAGAATAAACTCTCTCCCTACCAATGTTTCTCTATTTATTACAAATTCTAGATATCCCCATTTCTTTCAGCGTGAAACCAATTTGGGTGCAGACGTTTATTATTCCAGGCAGAGGGAACACCCCCTCCCCCTCCCTCCCAGCCCCGAAGGCATGCTTTCCGGGCAAAATTCTCATAACGAGGTTAATTCAGGCAACCTCACGTATTTCGCCCCGAGTCCATGTGGAAGCATTTACTGTTGAAAAGTGGCAAAAGAGTAAGCATACCCTGCCTTGAACCACACCTGATATTGCTGTTAAATACTATAATGCCCTCTGTTTTTCAGCCTATTTTATGCTTAACTGAAGTAGACGAGACATCGAGAGTGGGAATAGTTGTTTTCCTGTTATTTTCATGCCACTTATGCTTGAATTAATAACAAATTATTGATAAACAACTTTTAATCAATAACAGAGTTTTTTTTCTGCCGTAGTGTAAGAAGAACCCGCCCTTTGGTAAAATTCATCGGATTCTTCGGTCAGGGTAACGTTGAACATAAAACATCTTTGAGTCGCTCCTCCCTGTGACTTAACAATAAACATTCATTCTTCTCGGAACATTTATTGAAACACTGGCTTAGATCTATATCATGGACAATGGCGATGACTGGAGATGTGTATAGGTAACACTTGTTATAAACATTTAGAACAAAACTGGTACACTGGGGATTTCCATTACAGTGTTCATTACATTCTGTAAGAGTTGATCCATGTATTGTTTCTATTTTATCAGCTTCTAAAAACGTATCGTCTGTAATACTGTAGTCACAATCTGAAATATAAATTTAAAAATTAGAATTTAGACTCTATGTTGTTTTTATCGGTAGAACCACAGTGTCGTAAATGGAGGAAGGACATCAAAAAGCGCCACAAACAGCAAAATATCTGCCATTCAGTCCTATTGGAGGCTTGTAATAAGTAATAGAAGAGTTAAGACTATGTCCCTTTCACAGTGATTAAAATTTCTGGATTATCTCAAAACTAAAAACAAAAACGCAAAACCTAAACTCTTTGTCACAGTACTCCTTTACCATTTGAGAACTGTGATGTTAACATTCAAAAGAATCCACAGAAAATGACTACACTACTACAGTAACAAGTAGTTGTCTAGGAAGATAAGCCCATGCCCTTAATGAATTTTCAGTATACCAAAGGCGGTCGTCAAATAAAAGTAACTTGTCCAAGATATTGTCGAGATAAAGTAACACGCATAAATTCTGACATAAACTCTCACGAGTCACAGTTAACATAATTTCAGTTTATTATGGATTGAAATTCTGATAGCATTTGTCGAATCGAACCCGAAATCGAACTTCTCCAAGATCTCGTGGATGTAAACCTACACAATATATTTATAAAAATCGGATAAAAAACTGTGGTCGCTATCGCGTTCAAAGCCAATTGTGAACGGACGAAATGGCAGGGTCGACGGCAATATACGTCCCCATTAGAATCTTGGCGTATAAAAAGGCTGATAAAGTAAACTTTACAATTCGAAGTAAAGTACACCAAATGAATTCAATCATGCCATAAAAAAGGTAATATTTACAGGCATCAATAAGAATCAGCGCTGTTACGGCTAAGAACACAAGAAGTTCTTCATGGCGATAGAAAGATGACTCAACAAGACTCGTGGCTCGTGGAAACACTGCCGAATGGTAGATTTAATGTAGAAATTTATACAAAATTCTAAGCTTCCAACTGAACAGATGTTTCCTTGAAATCTGCCAATCAATAGCCTTGTATGTTTTTTACATCGACAAAATTCTAAAGCCTGGTCCACACTAGCTAGTTTTTTTTACAAAATACATTAGTTTTCTAAAATATGGTTTTGTGGGCGGGTAAATTTGTTCGTTTTTTAGTGAATTAGTGTGTCAGTTTTGAAGCCATTATGACTCTAGGTGCCGGGACTCCTCGGTAAAAAATAATAACTAAACAATTCTTGTGCTCTAACACGAGCCAGCAACTCCCATCGTTGTTTAGCAATGTTGACATGGCTTGATAAACATAAAGCTATTTCGGTATTACTCCCGACACATTCGATACATCATTCAAGAAAATATTTGCAACTAGAACTAAAACAGCTTTTGAACGTGGCATAAGATCTTGTCCCGTGTCTTTTAGACCTTTGGAACTTCTAAACTTTTAAACCCCGGTGCTCCGTTCCACAATATTTTCAGGCAATGTATGAAAAGTGAAAGTTTGTTTTTATGAATGTATTAAAGCCTTGACGCCTCCGCATTTTTGCGTCCCTACTTTAGTTGGACAGGTAGACAAAAAATCAGGAATGATTTTGTGAAACCCAAACCGGGTGTATTCCATACATTCTATACGAAAAAATGTTTAATTAACGATGTATCAGTTCCGCCAGTTGAATATATTTAATATATACAATTAATGGTTTACAGTTATGAAAGCGGTAATCTATGATATACATAAATTATATTCTGTACGATAAAAAAGGCGGTAAATTAACGTTTTACAAGTATCTTACCAAATATATTTAATATATACAGTCGCTGGTTATGAATTAATGTTTTTATGATAATAATGATGATAAAGGGAGAAAATTGAAGCCTAAGGTCCCCTTACAATTTGCCGTCCCAAAACAAGATAACATAACAATTAATACATAGCAAATGATATAATGGTGTGGACATGATATGTGAACAATAAAATAAAAGATGTAGAAGGCTATTTGCCATTTAAAGGTATAGACAGATGGGACAGGAATATAACAATTAATGAAAGTTATCAAAGCGTAAATCTATCATATACAAATATATTCTGTGAGATAAAACGTTAAATTACTTACCAAATATATCTAATTACATCAATAAAATACATAGGAATTGTGTATAGGGAACAATTTCAATCGGACGTCTGTGGTTTCTGCAATTCTATTAAAACTAAGCGTTTGATGACGTCACTTTCGCAAAATATGCTTGTATTAAATAAGACCCTAATTTCGCGGTAGTGGCGTCATAAAATTTAAGTAAAAAAGCTCAGATGTCTTATTTAAAATTGGAGTGAAGTAAATTTATGCTTATAATGTCCCAAACACACACACAGAGTTTTGAAAACTGCATACTCTCAAGAACTTACTAGAATATACAATTTAGGACAAGTAGTATAATACGAATGGTGGAATCTGTTATTATGACTTGTGAAATCAGTTATTACGAGTTGTGGAATCTGTTATTATGATTTGTGGAATCTGTTATAATGACTTGTGGAATCTGTTATTATGACGTGTGGAATTTGTTATTATGAGGTGTGGAATATGTTATTATGACTTGTGGAATTTGTTATTATGATTTGTGGAATCTATTATTATGACTTGTGGAATCTGTTATTTTGACTTGTGGAATCTGTTATTATGACTTGTGGAATCTGTTATTATGACGTGTGGAATATGTTATTATGACTTGTGGAATTTGTTATTATGACTTGTTGAATCTGTTATTACGCCTTGTGGCCTGTCAGGCCCTGTTGTACCTTTACGTCGGAAATTTAATTTTCAATATACTGGGCATATACGACATGAGTTTACTATTTGAAGAGTGTTAAATATGAAGTTAATTCGGGAATAGGATGAGTTATCGCAATCATTAAGTGAAAAGAATAGTTGCAAGGTAAACACTAATAAGACCCAGGAACTCTTGGAATGTTAACCAAATCGTATCTTTGCCCGAATATCCTATACTATAACTGTATTTTTTTAATTGAAATCGTAGCCCTATAGTATTCTCCTATAATAATATTTCATAATTCAGATCATTTGAGAATTGAAACCACTACCGAATGCCATTTACTATTACTATATTTTACATATTTCAAAAATAGAAATAGCAGCCCAAATGTCATTACTATAACAGTATTCATTGAAAAAAAAAAATTAAAATGGCTACCCGAATCATAGTCCGAAACATCTGCCTCTATTCCAGCAGATATTTTGACAGGTTGTCGGCTGTTTTTTAGTATCACGTGACTCTGTCACCTTTGAACTATTAGCAGTAGGGGTAGTATCATGTGTTCTAGAAAAAGTGAAAATACTCTGCCAAAACAATAGTTTTTGTAAAACTCTCATAATTAGGTTAGAAATTCGGGCAACCTCAGATATCCTCCCCCACTCGGACGTAATCCTAGCCCCGCCACTGTGAGTTTTTAATATATACCCTGACCTTGGGAAACCCTTCATCCTGCATCACATGCTCAGTTTTTAGACACTCCATTGGTCAAATCTTCCCAATCACATAATTTGCGTGGAAAGATTGTTTTAACTGACTATTTATTTTAGAATGGTGTTAACAGCCAACTGGGGTAAATATAATAGCACACTGACCAAGTGTACTATCATGCAGCCACGAGATACAGGTTAAATGGCCCTGGACACGGTATATGAAGGCATGGGTAAGCGTACATTAAGCATATCATGCGAGCTTAAACATAATCAATGGTGTCTCCGGACTGTACATCAGCGGCGAATAGTGTAACAATATCCCGATGAATAAGATATCAAAGCACAACCGATGACGAAAATTACGCATCCAACTTGGATCTGCGTCTTGAATTTGACAAAGACAACTGCATTATAATTTATTGTCATTAAAACAATAGAAATACATGTACAATAATTATACAACATGTATACTGAATATACGTCATTAACGGGATCATTAACTAGATCATCAAGGTTTTCCGGAATTTCATCAAACGTGTTTATCAATCTAGCTTTAGAAGGACCGGAAGCAGTTTCTCTCAACTCCGTCTCATTCATTAGACATTAGACACAATTTCTTCGGTAAAGATATCCGTCCCGGTGGCTTTAGCAGCATTCGCATTATGACCACGAATACGTCCATCAGTATGAACTATCATAACATTCGGGACTCCAGCTCGACCTTTGGTGTCCAGCTTCTGTTGGGCTGCATCAATCACTACCCCTACAGCTCCACAAACGAAGAGCACGGATATCCGTCTACAGTTGATTTGGGTTACTTAATATATTAAAAATAATGATTCATCACAAAAATATCACTATATTTCATTTAAAAATGTCTTGTCTCAGATCGCTGGAAATAAACTTGCGTTCAGACGAGTGTCAGTTAAGTAGTCAAATAGTTTTGTAGTTTTCAATAACCCGCAAGGACGGCAAAGGTCTTATTTTAAGTGAAAAATAATATTACATATCTTACATACAAGTGGGTTAGGTCGTACTTATTTCTAACTGATTATTAAATGAATAATACCAGACGAAACGAAGACGAAAGGTCTGCTGACAATGCAATACAATGGCATTGGACTAAGGTGAAGGTCGAAGTGTGCTACCCACAGAACATTGCGGCGAAAACCCGAAAATCGTTTATTTCTAGTAAGTCAACATATTCAGACTCTGTGGCTGGTTCTTAAGGCTCTATAAACCAGTGACTTGACACAATCTATACAATAAGGTATATTAACTATCATACAATTTGTAACACGACAAGCTATTTCTACACATTGTATGACCTGTATATCAAGTGAGACGAAGTTATTTCTGAGAAATTGAAACATGTGACGTAATTTTTCCTGGAAACCTAATTATTCTGTGCGGGATTGATAGTTTATATTGATAAACCGTTTATAAAAAAACAAAACCAGTATAAAACTTGATTAGTGGTGGACAGAACAAGTTATTCTGTATAGGATTGATAGTTTATATTGATAGCAAGGGATTAACTAGTGTGGTGTCATTATTTGTAGAAACTGTTATATTCATAGCGAGGAACCTTTCAATTGTCAAGACCCTGTTCAAGTTGGGACAGACAAACAAGTTATTGGTAATCGTCTCTAGAAGGAAGTACTCAAGAAGCCATTTCTATGAAATCTAATGCAGTATATAATGTGACTATTAGTAGAAATCAAACAGAACTTCTTCAGTGTATTTTAGAAGAATAAAATGGCCAAGGCTTCAGTGAGTAACACACCAGAATGTTCTATTTGTTGTGAAGGTTTTAAAACACCTAAATTTATAACATGCGGTCATACTTTCTGTCTAGGCTGCGTAGAGACATATATTGGTGATAAAACAGAAACATTCCCCTGTCCGATCTGTCAGCAGGATGTTAAGATTCCAGAAGGTGGTGCTAAGATGTTTACAACAAATTTTAGTTTAATTCCATCATACCCGCGTACATCACATGTTACTGGTACAACATCACCTACATCACATGTTACTGGTACAGCATCACCTACAACACATCTAACAGACAAAACCTCTTCAAAGGTAAAATACCACTGTTCATGTCATAGAGAGAGACCAATAGACTACTATTGTCTAACTTGTCACTGTGTGTTATGTCATAAATGTTTTCTGAAAGAACACAAAGATCACGAGTATTTAGATGTAGAATGTGAAACTGTGAAAGAAAAAGCTACAGAGCTAGTTTTAACCTCAAAGAAATTCATCCAAAATAAAATCAAAGACTTGGAAGAAACTCATGTGGTGTTAGTAGAAGCGAGAGAGAAACTCCAGCGTTTTACTGAAGATGCTTTTAGCAGAATAACCAAACAAACTGATAAAATTATAGCAGATATAAAGGCTAGCAGTGAGAGAATCATGACACACATCAAAAATAAGTCTGAAGAATCAGAATCAGAATTTACCAAAACTGAAGAGAAAATTATGGGAGATATAAAAAATTTCAAACTAAATCTGGAGACGAATTTTCCTTCTTTAACAGAAGATTGTGATTTACAAATTTTAGTTTCACTTGAGAAAATAAAAGAGCTAGAAGAATTGTGTAAAGATGTGAAAGTCGAAACACCATCAGTGGTTCAGTATTTTGATTGGAAAGAAAAAGATTTCAGTTTAAATATCGACATGTTAGGATCCATGGTGTTACAACAATGTCACATACCCAAACTACACGAGTCCATGGTGTTAAAACAATATTATGACATACCCAAACTACACGAGTCTAATTCATATCAATTTTATTATAATATAAATGATATAAAGAAGGATGATGAAGAGTATTACAGTCAAGACAAGTTTAGTTACAGTAACTTGGTATGGAGTTGTGGTGTAATGAGGTATAATGGTGATTTATATATTGATATTGAACTATTACCAGATGACAATCCTAGATTAAACTATTGTATTATTGATTATCAAATCAGTGTATTGAATATTGATGATGCTAGTAAAACTATAACTAGAACATACAGTAACGAGAGATTAAAGAGAGATGGGTTGGGTTTATGGTGGTGGAAGTCTATCACCTGGTCTGAACTCACTGATAAAAACAATGGTTATTTAAATTCTAACAATCAGTTTGTGATTCAAGTTAATATCACACAGATCAGAGAAATATCATTGAAATAAAGTTTATTCCACAATTCAATCTTTTATCTCTTGGTCAATCCTCTTTCTTCATATTTATATAATTCTGTATTATGTATATTATATTGTAAATATGTGTAATTATATATGTAAGATTTTGTTTTCGAGAATTTTGATGTTTGATCATGTCCAGATTATTAATATTGAAGCTAACATGAAATGTTTTTTAAAGCCATGGTTTTTCAAATTGTTTTGAAATCATTTTTTGAACGTATCCCCAAATTATATTCATTTTTTGCATGAAAAGGATGTCATCGGATGTCGAAAGTGAAACTAGTACAAAATGCTGCTAATAATTCTTCGAGTACTGAGACAATGTTGGCCATATTGATATCAAACAACTCATAATGATGTCAAACAACTCATATTGATATCAAACAATTCATATTGATACCAAACAACTCATATTGATGTTAAACAACTCATATTGATGTCAAACAACTCATATTGATATCAAACAACTCATATTGATGTCAAATAACTCATATTGATATCAAACAACTCATATTGATACCAAACATCTCATATTGATATCAAACAACACATATTGATATCAAACAACTCATATTGATATCAAACAACTCATATTGATATCAAACAACTCATATTGATATCAAACAACACATATTGATATCAAACAATTCATATTGATGTCAAATAACTCATATTGATGTCAAACAACTCATATTGATAACAAACAACTCATATTGATATCAAACAACTCATACTGATGTTAAACAACTCATATTGATGTCAAACAACTCATATTGATGTCAAACAACACATATTGATATCAAACAACTCATATTGATATCAAACAACTCCTATTGATATCAAACAACTCATATTGACGTTAAACAACTCATATTGATGCCAAACAACTCCTATTGATGTCAAACAACACATATTGATGTCAAACAACACATATTGATATCAAATAACTCATATTGATGTCAAACAACTCATATTGATGTTAAACAACTCATATTGATGTCAAACAACTCATATTGATGTTAAACAACTCATATTGATATCAAACAACTCATATTGATATCAAACAACTCATATTGATGTCAAACAACTCATATTGATGTCAAACAACTCATATTGATGTCAAACAACTCATATTGATATCAAACAACTCATATTGATATCAAACAACTCATATTGACGTTAAACAACTCATATTGATATCAAACAACTCATATTGATACCAAACAACTCATATTGATATCAAACAACTCATATTGACGTTAAACAACTCATATTGATATCAAACAACTCATATTGATATCAAACAACTCATATTGATGTTAAACAACTCATATTGATATCAAACAACTCATATTGATGCCAAACAACTCATATTGATATCAAACAACTCATATTGATGTCAAACAACTCATATTGATGCCAAACAACTCATATTGATATCAAACAACTCATATTGATATCAAACAACTCATATTGATATCAAACAACTCATATTGATATCAAACAACTCATATTGATATCAAACAACTCATATTGATGCCAAACAACTCATATTGATGCCAAACAACTCATATTGATTTCAAACAACTCATATTGATATCAAACAACTCATATTGATGTCAAACAACTCATATTGATATCAAACAACTCATATTGATATCAAACAACTCATATTGATGTCAAACAACTCATATTGATATCAAACAACTCATATTGATGCCAAACAACTCATATTGATGCCAAACAACTCATATTGATATCAAACAACTCATATTGATATCAAACAACTCATATTGATATCAAACAACTCATAATGATGTCAAACAACTCATATTGATATCAAACAACTCATATTGATATCAAACAACTCATATTGATATCAAACAACTCATATTGATGCCAAACAACTCATATTGATATCAAACAACTCATATTGATATCAAACAACTCATATTGATATCAAACAACTCATATTGATATCAAACAACTCATATTGATTTCAAACAACTCATATTGATACCAAACAACTAATATTGATATCAAACAACTCATATTGATGTTAAACAACTCATATTGATATCAAACAACTCATATTGATACCAAACAACTCATATTGATGTTAAACAACTCATATTGATATCAAACAACTCATATTGATACCAAACAACTCATATTGATACCAAACAACTCATATTGATATCAAACAACTCATATTGATTTCAAACAACTCATATTGATACCAAACAACTAATATTGATATCAAATAACTCATATTGATGTTAAACAACTCATATTGATATCAAACAACTCATATTGATATCAAACAACTCATATTGATATCAAACAACTCAAGTAGTATATGGGGTATTAGATTGGACGCGCTTCCCCCCATTCCATTTCATTCCAATGGGAAAAATGCATCCAATCTAATACCCCCCTAAAAAGACCTATACACCCTACATTCCATCAATTCACACCCCAAAAAAGACCTATACACCCGACATTCCATCAATTCACACCCAAAAAAGACCTATACACCCGACAATTCATCATTAAATTAACTCATTTGAAAATAGGATAAGTTTATTTTTTTTAAACACGAACAACACAATTAATCTGTTAAAATTAACTCCATAGTTGTAGTTTATGAATAAATCCACACAAGGAAGTAAATAGTAATATATAGGTCATAACACAAAAAAAAACACCCGTAAAATCATCGCAAAATAAACACACAAATTCTATAGACACATCCTTCTGTCCCAACTATCAAACAAAACGTAATCGGAATCCTATATAATCCCTCTTCACTTTAGATTAGAATAATTAACGAAAAAAGCATATTATAAATACCCTTAAACAAAATAACTCCCTTGATTCTTCTAACATCCGGTTTGTTTATTAGCCTCTTTTTTATTGCCTCGTTTTTAATAATGTTATTTATAGTTTTAATCTAGAAACTTCTGTAAGAAAGATAACTCTTGTTTTGTAATTCTAAAACACGAAAAGCACAAATTCGAAGGTTATTCAGGCGACGGTATCTTTTCATCCATATTTTCTCTAGGTAAAAAAATAATTCCAAAAATACCTAGCTTTATTGCAAACAACAAATCACTTATTTCATCCGAAGCTAAAGCTATAGGATCTGTCGCGGAAGTGGGAAAGAGTATAAGCGACGCAGTGAAACAATCTGACGAGTTGAAAGAATTACAACTAATAAGAGAACTGCGAAACAGGAGATTAGAAGAAAGGAGATTAGAGGAAAGGAAAGGAAAAGGTTTTAAAGTTGATGCCGCTACACTTAAACATGATATTTTATACAAAAATAAAGACACAAAGTCTAGATACGAAGCAGACAGACAAATGATAATCGAACTTGAAAATATTCCAAATCCAACTTTCAAAGAGAGAATGCAAAGGGCTCTGATCATGAAACTCTTAAAAGCAAAGATGAAATTGGGTATGGGATTGGCGGATGAAATTCATAAAGAATTTAGAAAAACTAAAAACTTTTTAAAAGTTAAAGTATTTAAAAAAGATGAAATATGGTCAGCTGATTTAATTAATAAGCCAGTCGAAAGAGGATATAGATATTGCTTAACAGTTATAGATTTGTATACAAGATATGCTTGGGTTATTCCTTTGAAAAACAAACAGGATTATCAGTCAAACATGCTTTTGAAACGATCATGAAACGTAGAAAACTAAAAAAACTGTGGGTAGATAAAGGAAGCGAATTTTATACTAAAAATATGAAATCACTTGGGTTTGAAATT